CCCTAATACTCTGGTGTTGTTTTCTAACATCAGTACTAATCTATAAATAACTATAAATTTCTTCAATTCCATGCTTTAGTATAAACATAGAAGAAAGACCTCTGGCCGTAACAGTTTTTAAAAGTTGGTAATATCAGTTGTCCTTTTGTAACAGATCTAGTTGAATGACCACTTCCAGAATTTGATTTGGGCAACAATGCACAGAGAGTTCCATAACTGGCACCTTGGAAGATGTGAAAATATAAATCAATACCACTATACAAAACATAATTCTGAAAAGTCAAGGCAATTAAAGTTGAAAACCAGGGTTTTAAGAGATGAATGAACCAATTGGCAAGCCAAGCTTTGGTCACTCGCGGGCCACATCCGCCAGTTGACTAGCCCTGAAATAAAAGTTCACATGCACAATAAATCCATTTGGTGATATGATGAATATTTATAATTCTGACCAAAATACGTCTTCATGCGTCACTAACTGCAGTAATCGGAAAGTGGGTTTTTCAAACAATTAACTGCACACAATACAGTTTTGTCCAACCCTGATAAGAAAGCATTGTGATCTTGTAAAATTAAGAGATCTCAATAAAATCTGTTGGATGACTCTCAGCTACCACCACGCCACATTTTAGCTAAATATCTGAGAAACTGGTTGAGTTGTAGCTGTTTTTGTTAGCTGATGTTTCACAGCTGTGGACATCATTTTGAATCATAGAAGATGCACATTTTATGATTTTGTTACATGTAGGCATTTTGCTAATGCTGCAGACAAACACTGGCACATTTTATTGCTTCCAGCTGTGTGATAATCAGGCTGTTTGTATGTCGTGTCTGCCACGGGTTTTAGGTATCTTTATGTGGATAAACTGTCTAACCTGTGCGCCTACATCTGAAGCGTGGAATAAATTAAACTTCACACAAACTGTGGGATGTAAGCCACATCTGTTAAAAATAAAAGTAACATTTTCACACACTGTTTCTGTTTCTTCACCACCTGTATCTCTGAAACCTGCCAGGACTTTGGAGCTGACAGTTATCTCATCTTTGGGCTGAATGCCTTTTCAAAGTTCACATCATCGACATAAGACTTGTCCGTCTGAGCTGGAGGGAGGTGAGAAAACTCATTAATGAATAAGCAGGATCAGAGGGCCGTACCTTGTGATGCGGCGAGCTTCCAGATGGCTCGGAGAGTCTCTCCTCCTCTTCTTCATAGGAGTGTAGGATTTGCGTCTTCGCCTCTTCCCGCTGACCTTATGCTTCACGCCTGCTTCTCTGGAGCTGGATGGTCTCTTTCTGTCTCGTAGTCTGAAGCAAGCAGCCATGAGAGCGTGAAAATTTAATTACCAACTCTGTCAGCGTAGCTTTGTTCTTCTACACGGCTAATGAGAAGAAATTATCAGCTGAAACACTTTGCGGAGTTCACCTGTCAGCACTGTGTCTGGAGTAGCTTCCTCTGGAACTCAGGCTGACCACGCTGCCTCTTCGCCTCACCACTGACGAGTCGCTCAGAGAGCGAGAGGACGAACTGCAGCCCAACAAAAAGGTTTTACAGGCACTAAATTAGGTTGGGTATTAGCAGATGTCCAATTGGTTTATGGGAATATTTCATGTACCTGCACGAGTACAGGGAGGGACTTCGAGAACGGCGTCCAGAGTGTCTGAAAATCCCCGAGGATCTGCTCCTGCTGCTGGACGAGTGGCTTTTTAACCGCCGTCGAGACGATCTGCTCCTCTTCTTGGAGGATCTCACAACCTCTACCTGACATCCCAAGGTTATCTGCTCACTGCAGAAAGAAAGAAAAACAACATAAAAGGAGTGTTTTATTGCTTTAATGGTAAGGGCAAAGTGTTATGTAATTTGTTGTTAAACAGCTTGTTTTATTTTTCTTCTATAAGATGAATTTATTAAATGAGAGTAGAAACAGATTGTAAAGATTGTCTATTTCTAAGAAAGTATTCATCCAAACAGGCACAGCTGGTTCATCAGGGCAGGGCTGGTTTCACTAAAGTCTGATTAAACATCCAGGATCTCAGCTGTGAAAGCAATTTAAATAAGCTTGGATGGATGGATGGATGGATGGATGGATGGGTGGGTGGATGGGTGGGTGGGTGGATGGATGGTTGTTAGATGGATGGATGGATGGATGGAT